GTAGGCGACCCCCGTGTTTTCAAGCTTCAGCAAACGAAGCGTAGGCGGCTCTCGCGTTTTTCAACACCCAGCGAGTACCCAACTCCGCATCTCTATTCTAAAACGCGGAGTTAGGTTCCTGAACGCCAACTTGGGCGTTTGACTCGTTCAAACATAAGTTGAACGGTTGCAGTAACCGTTTTCCCTTCACAATTTGAGGGATTTTCGCCCCACTTAGGAGCGGATTAAGGGGGCGGTTACACCCCTCTCAACCCTATTATGAAGAGAATTAAGGGGGCGATTACACCCCTTAATTTCCTATAAATATGGGTAAACTCAACTGAGTTCAGGCTGACTTTATGGGATCTGAGACTTAGCAGTGAGGAGGAGATCTTTGGCTTCTTTTTGGGGATCTTCGATTTGGAGCTTTGGAGATCGACCACCGGAGCTTTCTTCTGGCCTTGGCTTATTACCCGATTTTCAGTTCAAATCAACTCTTTTACAGAGTTCTTCTAAACTCGTTCAGAGTTCTAAAACTTGCTTTGCAAGTTCTCCACAACGTCAAACCGTGATGAGAAGACATCGTTCCAATGAAGCAAAACGTCGGATCGTCAACGGAGAGCAAACTCGACGCGAGCATTCGAGGGAGGCATTCCATCGCCACCGTGAAGAACCCAGTTTTAAACAAAGGGGAGAATCCAGATCATTCTCTTCTCTTTTGTAATCAGGAAATCTAATTATAACTGAGATTAAAGGAATACAAATCAAATTTTTCATTCGTTTCTTTTACTCCAAATTTTTCCACAAACAGTGTCATATCATTTCATGTGATGGTATTAATAATTTTTTGTTCTTGGACAGAGTTGATCTTTGCTTTCTGATACCCTCCGTATCTTGTACAACCATATCCTTCAATTATCATGAGGGGAGTGGGAACAAACAAAAACAGCACCAAAACCTTTATCTCAAAATTCTGAATGGGTTATATGAACCCAATAGTCCATATTTAAAGATTATCTCCTCTACTAAGTTAATTATTATCATATTTTTCTTAAATTACCTCTTAGACCTGCATTGCAGATGACCATACTATTTTTCAAGTGATTATATCTCATTTATTTTCAATAGGAGCAATCTTTTTTAACTTCTTACAAACACATTCATTTTTTTTTCCGTCTTACTACTTAATGTATTTTCACTTGTCTATCATACCTCGTCAATCATAACATTCTCATTATTGCTGTTCTCCCAATAAGAGCAACCCCAAACCTAACTACATTGATTCACAACATGCAGCAAAATCTAGAAAATCTTTTAACATTGACGATGTAAGTCTTGTAATTTTGGTTTAATATGAATCTATCAACGAAAGGAGAGGCAACTCTCTTGAGTGCAAAACAGTAGTTGGAAGCATATTAACATATCCGAAAACTTGGAGATATGTGGGGAAAAAATATAAAGGTTTAATTGTAGCTAGATCCCCGGTGCTAGCGCCCAGTTGCAAATAGTTGTTTGAAAATTTCATTCCAGGGACGATCCGAAATTGGCAACAGTAATATCCGCAACAATAGAACTACAACTACATGCATTATATCTGCAACAATAAAATTACAGGCAGTATATCCGCAATTGGGGATAGTTAAATGGATCTATCCACAATTAAAGTGAAATTAAATTAAAGCTAGAAAACAGAACTGAAAGTGACTTTACCAATAATACAAAGGGGCTTTTATTTCTAGCCCAATTTTTTACTCATTTTAACCTATAAACCCAATCACTATTGCTTATATTTCTAAACCCAATTATCTTTTTCTATTTGACTTTAAATTACCTCCTCTACTAAGTTAATTATTATCATATTTTTCTTAAATTACCTCCTCTTAAATTACCTCTACTAAGTTAATTATTATTTCTGTAGTATTTTATTTCGATACTGATCGAAACTGCGTTGTTGCGCCAGAGGAAGGATAGCTATACTGATTCGGTATACTCTAAATACACCTTTGGTACAAAATTGACGATCTCACAAAGATTAAAGATCAGTGGTTTTCTATTTACTGATCCCATCTTTCGCGGAATCGATTCCCTTTTTTTTGAATGTACAAGAATTTTTGGAGCTCAGCATGTCTGGAAGCACGGGAGAACGTTCTTTTGCTGATATTATTACCAGTATTCGATACTGGGTCATTCATAGTATTACTATACCTTCCCTATTCATTGCAGGTTGGTTATTCGTCAGTACAGGTTTAGCTTACGATGTATTTGGAAGTCCTCGGCCAAACGAATATTTCACAGAGAGCCGACAGGGGATTCCATTAATAACCGGCCGTTTTGATTCTTTGGAACAACTTGATGAATTTAGTAGATCCTTTTAGGAGGCCACCAATGACCATAGATCGAACCTATCCGATTTTTACAGTGCGATGGTTAGCTGTTCACGGGCTAGCTGTACCTACCGTTTCTTTTTTGGGGTCAATATCAGCAATGCAGTTCATCCAACGATAAACCTAATTCGAATTATAGAGCTATGACACAATCAAACCCGAATGAACAAAATGTTGAATTGAATCGTACCAGTCTATACTGGGGTTTATTACTCATTTTTGTACTTGCTGTTTTATTTTCCAATTATTTCTTCAATTGAGAGAAAGAAATAGAGTACTAGGAATTCTCTTATCCTATTCGGAAGGATATCATCTTCATAATTATCCAGGGCTGTTTTTGTCTATAGCATGACTACTTGATGAAATGTGGAGGAAAGTGAGGGAAATGGCCGATACTACTGGAAGGATTCCTCTTTGGCTGATAGGTACTGTAGCTGGTATTCCTGTGATCGGTTTAATAGGTATTTTCTTTTACGGTTCATCTGATTACTACATAGATGAACCCAAACTTTCAAAATACAATACTTGCATATGTGGGCCCCTTAATTTTTTTCCTTAAATTCCAATTATACCCTTTCAGTTTATCTCATGTGTCCTTCATTAAGTGGGCCACTTTAAAAAAATTTAAAAACTTAAGAAAGTGGAGAGAGAGAGAGAGAGAGAGAGAGAGAGAGAGAGAGAGAGAGATGAACGAGGCTGTTCCTCTGTTTCTCTCCCCTCCCGCGCCTAATCGCATATTTAATGCGGTTAGGCACGGGAGAGGAAAGAAATAGCGGGAACCCACCGTCCCTCTCTCTCTCTCTCTCCCCCCTTCCTTTCTCTCTCTCCATTTCTCAATTAACTCCCCTCTCTCATCCATTATTATTACATTCTTCCACTGTTATAAACTCATCAATTAATTTTCACTCACTTATCAATCCATCAATCAATTCTCAACTTCATTAATGTGTAGGGTGTGATTTTGGTGGTTATCACGCTACACTTACATGTTATCACGCTACACTTATAATTTATTACGCTACACTTTCAGTTTACCACGCTACACTTACAGTTTATCATGGTACCCTTATAGTTTATCACCCTATACTTTTAATTTATCATGTTACACTTACATGTTATCACGCTACACTTTCAGTTTATCATGCTACGCTTACATTTTATCACGCTATACTTACAGGTTATCACCCTACACTTTAAATTTATCACGCTACACTTACATGTTATCACGCTACACTTTCAGTTTATCACGCCACACTATAGTTTATCATGCTGCACTTACAGTTTATCACGCTACACTTACAGTTTATCACGCTACACTTACAGTTTATCACGCTACACTTTCAAATTATCACGCTATACTTTCAAATTATCACGCTACACTTACATGTTATCACTCTACACTTTCAGTTTATCACGCTATACTTACAGGTTATCACGCTACACTTTCAATTTATCACGCTACACTTTCAGGTTATCACGCTACACTTACAAATCAAACTCCACGCTATACACACACACACACACACACACACATAGAAGTCAGAACAATATGTTACAATGAAAATCTATCTTCTCCATGCTAAAATCTATCTCCTCCATGCTATACTTTCAGAATTTTTCCCTGTCTAAGAGAATACAACATAAAAAATAAAATTTACAAACAAATAATCCATCAATCAAAGAGAAATTTGCATACAAGATCAGGTTTTGTTGCACTCACAAAATTGCACAAGAACAAAATAACATTCACAAAACTTTCAGATTATCTACTTTCATAGTCTAACAAACTCAGAACAATATGTTACAAATCAAACTCCAAATATATATTTATACACACAAAAGTACGAACAATCCGAGAAATTTGCATATAACAATTGGCTTGGCTACACTCATAGAACTTACGAAGCTCACCAGCACAGGTGGAGTTGAAGGCAATGACGGAGGCGTCGACGAGAGCAACAGAGAGGTCGGAGTGGAGGATGAGGTGGCGGGCGATGTAAAGGCCAATGATCCTGTTGCCGACGATGACGTCATGCTCCAACTTGCGTAGAGCGGTCACAATGAAGATTTTACCTCGGTCAAGGCTCAGTGACAAGACAGCGACGGTGACAGACACAAGAGGAGAACAGGGAAGAAGCGCCGAAGAAGGGGAAATCATGCTCCAACTTGCGTATAACGGCCATAATGGGGATTTCACCTCGGTCAAGGCTCAATGACGAGGCGGCGACAATGATGAACACAAGACGGACACGAGCTGAGAACGGGGAAGAAGCGAAGAAGGGGGAAATTGGGTTTTTTAGTTAGGACTAAGAGATGAAAAGAGGGAAGAAGAGGAGAGAGAAAAGTACTGGTTTAAGTGGGGGTATTGAAAGGGGCATTTTGGCGTTTTTACCATGTTTGTGTATAAATACAAGTGCTCTACCTATTGTATCTTGGAAATCAGGTTTAAAGGCAAAAAAAAAGATAATTGAGTTTAAGAATACAAGCAATAGTGATTGGGTTTTGAGGTAAAGTTGAGTAAACAATTGGGGCTAGAAATAAAAACCCCTCAAAACTGCAGCATGTTAGATGTCTCTTGGATTACACATACTTGATCATATGTACCAAAAAAACAACTTGTAAAAGTGGATATTGATAGGAAACTGAATGATACCCATACTAAAATTGGATATTGATAGGAAACCGAATGATACCCATACTAAAATTTATGAAACAAAGTTTGAGACACTGTGAAAAAGCAGAAAAAAATTTGTACATGACCCACCCATTACTTCTCTTGAAAATGTGATAGTAATAAAAACAACATCCTCTCTAACAAAATGCAAATAAAAACAGGGACCCAAAATCACATGTACATCAACCAAAAAGTGCAACTTTTCCTAAAACAGTGTGGGCATCAGTCAGAGCATTGTGCACTTTTTCTCTCGAAATTATGGAATAAAATTCTGATAATTTTCTCGTATACTCTCAGATCCTTCGCTTGTTTTCGCTATCTCTTTTTGTTCGAGGAGAATGAGAAGAGTTTTGAAATGTTCGGTTATTGGGATTGTAATTTTGTGACGCAAGGTAACTGAGCGCAGTGACCACATCAGCTATAAGAGGACGCATTGAAGGTTGCTCTTGAACACACATTGCAGCTACAGCAAGTGCTTGATATAGGGCCCTTGAAGGGTATTGCCCTTGAAGCATTGGATCAGCCATTTGAGGGAACTTTCTCCTATCCTTGAAAAGAGGTCGAGCCTGAAATGAAGATTAAGATTCTTGAAGATGATTCCTATAGACAAAAAAAGAAACATGCTGCTTCTATAAAAGTAATTGAAAAGAAGTTTCAGTTGAGAATATTTGCACAAATTATGATCCCGTGTCGAGAAATAAACAGGTCTTTAATTTTGTTTGTGTCACCCCATCGCATTCTATTGTACACTGTTTTATGTGTATCTTGCAGATACACACATAAGTTATCAGAAAACACAATTGGTCCCTAAACATAGATTATCTGGTAAAAGCCATATCTGAGGTTTCCCAACTTAGCACTAGTCACCTATATGTGTATTAGTCAATNGTGCACAATGGAAGATACTTGCATCAACATTTATGCAAGGTTATACACTAAGAAATATTTTATGTTAATGATTATGTTAACTTCTGGGCTCATTCTATTATCTCAAGGAAAATATATTAAGAAAATATCAAAGGCTAGTTGGCAAGCCAGGGCACTCAAAAGGAATCAGCCAAAAAATATGATTGGAATTATTATGGCCCCACTTTCATTTCACAAGGCCCCCAACAGAAATTTTCACCAGAAAAATCACTACTCAGACATATAAAACAGGAGAACAGAAAACAATTAAAGCAAGATGCAAGCTGGACTGAAATTTACGGCAGGTTTTATAAACACCTTTAACAATCAACTGCAAGTTAGTGAGTCAAATATAGCAGGCTCCTGGTCTAAACTTTAGAGCAACGTCATCAATCTCATGGTTCAAAGAAAATAATTAGGGTTTAAATAGAAAATAGAAAAAAGAAAAAAGAAAAAAGAAAGAAAAAGGAAGTGAAAATGACCTCCCAACCTATCTTTATCTTCATGGAAACATCAAGACTGCATATACGTAACTTTGCTAAGTGAAAATTACGAATTGGAAATCTTAGATAAAATAAAAACAAGATGAGATTTTCATAAGGGCTTATAATACAAGTATCTTTTATGATGTGAGGATAATCTACTTTTTTGATGTGAGGATAATCTACTGACGGAAAACAAATGATGAACAAAAGTTCCTTACCCATGCAACTAAGTTGTGCTCTGGACCGGATCTTGAATTGTCAATCGCCTTTCTTCCAGTGATGATCTCAAGAAGAACAACCCCAAAGCTATATACATCTGATTTTAGCGTCAATTGTCCCGTCATAGCATATTCAGGTGCACAATATCCGTAAGTACCCATCACTCGTGTGGAAACATGAGTCTTATCACCGACAGGACCAAGCTTTGCCAATCCAAAATCAGATAACTTGGGGTGAAATCCCTCTCCAAGCAAAATGTTAGAGCATTTTAAATCACGATATATAACCGGAGGGTTTGCTTTATCATGCAAATATTCCAATCCTTTAGCTGCACCGGCAGCTATTTTCATTCTTGTGTTCCAGTCAAGCCGCCTCCTATCTGAACCAAGATCTGCGGGATGAACATCGGAATGGAGAAATTTACATCATATGAAATCTAGACAAATGAATTCCGTATGTGGCGACAAATGAGACTGCAATGTTGAAGGATTATATTATACCATACCATGGAGATGGTCTTCTAGTGATCCTAGTGGCATGTATTCATAGACTAGGAGCCTTTGATCTCCATCGGCACAATAACCAATTAGATTAACAAGATTAGGGTGATGGAGTAGACTCAACATTAGCACTTCGACAAGGAATTCCCTGTTTCCTTGCAAGCCATTGCGATCGAGCTGCTTGATAGCTACTACCTGTAGGAAAGAATATTAAACAACATAAATATACACGATCAATAAACACATCTCAGCTCTCTAGCTTAGTGAATTTGTTCCAAAATTGAGAAGGCTACACAACAAGAGCAAGAAACCAGTATGGCTCATTAATTACCAATTTGATATCAAGGAGTATTTAGTTCATATTTGGGATACTATAGGTCTTTTGAACAGTAAACATTTCTCTGAACTGACCTGGTTGATACTCTCTAATTTTCCCTTATAAACTCGACCGAATCCTCCCTCTCCGACAAGACAATCGGCTCTGAAATTGCCGGTAGCTGTAGCGAGTTCACGAAAAGTAAAAGTCTGGGCAGCAATGTGCTCAGAACCTCTATTTGAGTTTTCCTTTGAGTTGTCCTTCTTCACATTCCCTGAGTTCTGCTTCTTTGGTTCTGATGATGGGGCTGGCTTCGGTTTCTCCTCTGAAGAAAACGAGACGCGTTCCACATCAAATAACAAATATATAAACCTAAATGAAATGTAACAAGACATTCTTTGCAGGCCATAAATGGATTAAAAAAATACAAAGCAGTACTCAATATTCTGGAAATAAAATACAAATCCAACCAACAACAAAAAAAATCTCTGTTTCGCTCAATTAGCTAAAACTCTAATACATCAAGTTGATAACGTACAAGGTAAAAATAATTTTCTGATCGTGGTACAAACAAAAGTCCCGTCGACTGAGCTGTTGCAAATGCATGATCGCCATCTCACATTCATTTAAACATAACAAGATAAAATCAAATAAAATTCGAAAAAAGGAACCTTGGGCTGGGTATGGAACTCTCATACTGATATTGATTAAATTATAAGCCCAAACCCCAATCAAAATCCCAACTTTTTCCCAACTTAAAATCCCAATCAAACCCAAATCCAGATCAATCAACTACCGCATCAAGATCACAACTTTCGGCTCACATAAGCGACCATCGGATCAAAACTCAAAGACCACCGAAAACCCATAAAAAGTTCTTTCAAGTTAAGCATTACCATATGAAATAAAGAGAAATAAACATCAAGGTACCTGAAGATTGAGCGACCTGATCCTTCTTTTGAAAGCAAGGAAAGCAACCCATCTCTCTTCAGATGAGAAGAAGTGTGAGAGAGAGAGAGAAGGGAGAGAGAGAGAGAGAGAAATAAAAGAGGAAGAGAGAGAGAGAGAGAGAGAGAGAGAGAGAGACTAGAAAGAAATATAAAAAGAGAAAATTATAAAAAAAGGGGACAAAAATTATACCGAGAATACAAAATAGCATACGCGGTTTGAGTATTAATTTATTGTTTTTTTTTCGGTCTCTATATCGCAACGGAACCACAGGACAGTAACAACTACGATATTAAAGTTCAAATTTAATTGTAACAATGCCTGCTGCCATGATACTGGAAAATTTATGTTGTAGTCACAACAAACAAACAAAAAAAAATTGAAAATAGATGCCAGCATTCATCAGTCCGAACCGGTCATGTGACCAAATTTTGGCGACCCGGTTGGATTTTAAGGCCCGTTTGATTGATGTTTTTAGCCTCGGGTGTTGGACAGAAACCCTGTTAAAAGAACACTTTTGACAGGCTTGCTGTCCAAAACACCTCTTTTAGAAACGTTTTGGACAGAAAGCCTGCCAAAAATGCTCTTTTGGCAGACTTTCTGCCCAACATCCGATGCCAAAAACATCAACCAAACGGGCCCTTAGAATATGTTCAGATTGGTTTGATTTGGGGGGAAAATTTTATACCGACTTGTCGTTCTTAATTTTTTAGTTGAAATGCATCATTTTTAGACTGATCCCTCGATTTGTATTTTAACTTTTGGGTCATAATAGCTCATTTTCTAAGAACTAGTTCGGTTCATATTCATCATTCTTAAATTGATCCCTTGATTTGTGTGTTACTTTTGAGCCATAATAGCTCATTTCCTAAGAACTACTACAGTTCGGTTCGGTTCGGTTCTAAACCTAAATCGGTTCGGTTCGGTAGAAAATAATATATTTCGGGTCATTATTGAACTCTTGAAACTTTTTAACTAGATTTTATACTGATTAACTCTAGAAATCAATCTGGTCCTTAATGGGCAAGTGCTTTAGGGTTTACTTCGCCGATTCTACCTACTCTGAGAGATTCTTTCCCGTATCTAGCAGTCGTCCTTCGTATGTTGAATTAGTTCATAATGGTTAAGTTAGATTTGACGAAGAGATCTATTGAAGTTAAGTAAGCATTATAGTTATCATTTTTTATGATAGATAATGGCCTAGGACACAATATTGTTTATGTTTACCAAATAGTACCACCAACAACAAATCATGTCTCTTTTCGTGCCTTTTTAATGGGCAAAATGGTCAGATTGATATATTTTGTAGAGGCTTGGTCAAAATATACCAATCTGATCATTTTGCCCTTTTTAACGTGTATCTTTTTTTTCATCTAGGCGATTTGCTCACAGAGATTAGGATGCATCACTCGTTTTTTTTTTTTTTTGTTATTTACTTTTTATTTTTGTAAAGTTTAGTAGTTTTAAATAGCAGTTTCTAGAACTTACGTGACCACACGATCACTTAAAAACAATATTCAGCATGACATTATTTCATGCTAGGAAGTACAGATGACATTCACTATCAGGTAAGGTGATTTTCGATTAACTTGGTTATTTTGCAAGCAATATTATTATTAATTTTCCCCCCAAACAGAGGACGATCATGTGTTTGACCTGTTACATTATAAAAATATAACTCATAAAATATAAAAATATGGCTATCGGTCTTCACCATAACTTTAAAGTTTAGATTTAATAGTTAAAAATGTTAAAATGATATCAGAAACACCCAAATTAAAATCCCATAAATCACGAATTTATAACGAACTTCCTAAAAGTAAATGTTACTATGTGAGCTCAGTTTTTTGCCCATAAAAAAACACACAACCTATAAAATATGTTAGAATAAAAAAATAACCCCCTCTCCATAACTTTGTGGAATGTTTAGAGCTTTGAGATAACCGCTTCTATCTTGATATCCGATATTTGACTAGGTAACTAACCTCGACCGGACAAATAATAATAAAAAGTAACTTCGTGGAATGATATCAGCTCCAAAGTGCAAGATTACACGGTTCTATGCGCAATTAACCCTATGGCTACGATATACTTAATACTTTCATAAGAAACGATAGCTTTCTCATAATCAACACAAAGGGGGTGTTTGTTTTACTCTTTTTAAGGAATAAGAATAGGAATTGGATCTAATAGGGGCAAAACTATAAATAAAAGATTCTTTATGAATCATATTCCTAAGTTTGGTTCATAACAATTTTATAGATTTCGAAATCTATAAAGTTAGAAAAGAGGGAGGAGAGGAGAGGAGAGGAGGGGGGGGGGGGGGGTATGGAAACCAAAATCCTATGGGTTTGGGCGGAATTGGGTGAAAAAACTGACACCACATACCTATTCCCTTTCTTTTTGTTTTTCGGAACCCACCTCTTCACAAAAACCCTAGATTTGGTTTTCCGCCTTCTCCCGCTAATCTTCTCCCGCCTCTTCTCAATCCTCTTCGCGCTTTCTTCGATTTCTTTTTCAAAGACGATGCTCGGTTGTTGGCTTCGATTTCTGTCGGTGGGTTCGATGGGTTTGTTGGCTTCGGTGAGTTTGTTAGCTCCGGTGGGTTGTCGGTTGGGTTTGTTGTTTCAGTTTTCAGCTTCGATCTTCAGCTCCTTTCTTCGATTTCGAGCTTTGATTTCGAGGTTTGATCCCAAAAATTAATCTTCGATTTCGAGCTCCTTTCTTCGATCTTTGTTACTTAGGTGGGTTGTTGTCAGTGGGTTCGGTGGGTTTGATTTTGAGCTTCGATTTCTCAGTTGGTTGCCTCAGTTGGTTGCTTTGTTTGTTGCTGAAATTTTCAACCCTGAATTACCCCCTTGGCAGTTGAAGGTATAAATCTATAGCTCATGTTTTGACAAAAATTAATATATGATCATGGATGATTATTTGTCATGGTTGATTTTGTAGTGGATGTTTGATAATTTAGAGCTTATTTTCTTCAGTTATTTGTCATATAGTTGATCATTGATGGTTATAAATTGGTTATTTAATATATGAATTAGTAATTTTGTTTTAATTGCGTTTTAAGATTGCAATATATGAATTAGTTGTTTCATTACAAAAATAGATTTGTAGATATTTAGATATTTTGTTTTAAGATTTCAATATATGTATTAGTTATTTAATTATTTTTAATCTTGAATAAGTAGAAATATTAAGTTCTAAATGTATGCTAATTTTATAATGGATGTAGATGGATAATGTAGATGAAGAACAATTAAAGAGGATGTGTGCTAATACAACTGTTTCTTTCGTGGTCACGATAATAACTTGTCTTTTGAGAATGGGTGCTAAGCGCAAGATAATTTCTATTTGTACGATGGAAGAAAAGATCAAAAAAATATATTGCAGAGAAGCTCACTTCAAATGTGTATTGGAAGACTATAGTTGTCGGTCATATATTAGAATGAGACCAATGGCCTTTTTAAACTTGCTAAAATAATGAAAGCAAATTATTTATTAAAGGATGCAAGACATGTTCAAGTCGAAGAACAACTCGCTATGTTCCTAAGTATAGTGGGTCATAAAACTAAAAATAGAATAATAAGGACCGAGTTCATAAGGTCGGGAGAAATAGTTAGTAGGTATTTCAATAAAGTCCTACAAACAATGAATGGGTTACGCTACTGTTTGTTGGAAAAATTGTAGTGAAAAGAACAAAAGAAAATTGACTTGTATTTCTTTGATTCCGGTTACAATTTGATTACAAAAGAGAAGAGAACGAATTTGGTTCTCTCCTTTGTTTAAAACTGGGTTCTTCTCGGTGGCGATGGAGTGCCTCCCTCGAATGCTCGCGTCGAGTTTGCTCTCCGTTGACGATCCGACGTTTTGCTTCACTGGAACGATGTCTTCTCCTCACGATTCGACGTTGTGGAGAACTTGCGTGGCAAGTTTGAGAACTCTGAACGAGTTTAGAAGAACTCTGTAAAAGAGTTGATTTGAACTGAAAGTTCGGTTGTCAAGCCAAGGCCGAAGGCTCTCAGGACTGATCCTAAAAGATGAATGTCGATCTCTTCTGCTGCCAAGTCCCAGATCCGAAAAAAAATGTCAGCCTTCAGTGGTCGATCTGAGACAAGAAAATCCAACCCTGAACTCAGTTGAGTTTACTCGCTTTTATAGGGGATTAAGGGGGTGTAACTGCCCTCTAAATCCGCTCCTAAGTGGGCGTGATTTCCTCAGATCGTGGGGAAAAATGGTTCTGAAACCGTTCGACTCATATTTGAATGAGTCAAACGCCCACGTTGGCGTTCAGGACCCTAACAGACGCGAGGTTGGGTGTTGACTGAACATCCAGAACGCGAGGGTCGCTCACGTTTCGCTTGTTGTAACGCGGATCCGACTCTAGCGTTTTGATGTTGTAACGCATGTTTGACCCTAGCGTTTTGATGTTGTAACGTGGGTTCGACCCTCGCGTTTTGATGTTGTAACGCGGGATCGACTCCAGCGTTTTGATGTTGTAACGCGGGTTTGACCCTGGCGTTTTGATGTTGTAACGTGGGTTCGACCCTCGCGTTTTGATGTTGTAACGCGGGATCGACTCCAGCGTTTTGATGTTGTAACGCGGGTTTGACCCTGGCGTTTTGATGTTGTAACGTGGGTTCGACCCTCGCGTTTTGATGTTGTAACGCGGGATCGACTCCAGTGTTTTGATGTTGTAACGCGGGTTCGACCCTCGCGTTTTGATGTTGACACACAGGGAGGACCTCCGCGTCTTGTCTTGAAAAGATTATCACAAAGTAATCTCTTTTGTCATAGCGTTGTAAAGATCATTATCTTGTAATCTTCGTCTTGGCTCCTTGAGAACAAGTAATCTCTTTTGTCATAGCGTTGTAAAGATCATTATCTTGTAATCTTCGTCTTGGCTCCTTGAGAATATGAGAGTCGTCAGATTGTAACTCCCGATGTTGATTATGAATGCTGTTGAACTAGAGCTCTCATCGGTTGTCGTGAAGATCGTCAGATTGTAACCTTCAGTGATCTACGTGAAAGTCTTCAAATTGTAGCCTTTTGGAAGTTGTCAGATTGTAACTTCCATCATCGGTGTTTGATGGAGGATAAGCTATTTATTGTGAT